CTGAGTGGAAGTCCTACAACTAGGAGGAAAGAGAAATGCATACGGACACTCAGAGGAGGCGCAGTGCTGAAGTCAAATTCTGAGGTGCGGAGTGCGCGAGCGGGCTGGCGGCGGAGGGCGCGGTTGGCGTTTTCAATCTGGAGGGAGTCGCAGACTCTGAGCTCCAGATCCGGGCGAGTCTTTTTTTTTTTTTTTTTTATTAGTTAAGGTATTACAAATGTGTCCTCATCCCCCCCATTAACCCCCAACCTCCCCCCCACACACACTCATGCTCCCATCCCCCTGTTGTCCATGTCCATTGGTATGGCTTATATACATGTATACAAGTCCTTCGGTTGATCTCTTCCCCTTACCCCCGCCCTCCCCTACTTTCCTTCTGGGGATTGATAGCCTGATTGCTGTTTCTCAGTCTTTGAGTCTGTCCCTTTTCATCAGTCTATGTTGTTCTCTATAATCCACAAATGAGTGAGATCATGTGGTATTTATCTTTCTCTGACTGGCTTATTTCACTTAGCATAATGCTCTCCAGATCCATCCATGCTGTTGCAAAAGGCAAGAGTTCCTTTTTTTTTTACCGCAGCATAGTATTCCATTGTGTATATGTACCACAGTTTTCTAATCCACTCATCTGCTGATGGGCACTTAGGCTGTTTCCAAATCTTAGCTATGGTGAATTGTGCTGCTATGAACATAGGGGTGCATATATCCTTTCTGATTGGCGTTTCTGGTTTCTTGGGATATATTCCTAGTAGTGGGATCACTGGGTCAAATGGGAGTTCCATTTTTAGTCTTCTGAGGTGGCGTTTTCAATCTGGAGGGAGTCGCAGACTCTGAGCTCCAGATCCGGGCGAGTCTTTAGCGACCCAGACTCAAACGAGAGAAGCGGGACTGTCTGGCTTCGGTCAGAGCGAGTGCAGCTTTCTATCCGAGGTTTGCAGCGGTAGCTGGGACTCAGAGAGGCAGAGCCCCTGGGGACAGGACTGAGAGCCGCCATAACTGCTCTCTCCGGCCCACCCTGTTGATCCTGTGCGACCCGCCCCGCCCAAGCCCTGCACAGAGGCTTTTGCCAGATAGCCTCAGGCAAACGCCAGATTAGCACCTCCCTAGAGAACAGAAGTTCTCTCACTGCAGACACAGCTGATTATCATAGCCACTTGGCCTGGAGGTCAAACCCTCCCTGGTATTAGCTACAACAATCAAGGTTTATAGGACTGCGCACAAAGACCACTAGGGGGTGCACCAAGGAAGCATAACAAAATGCGGAGACAAAGAAACAGGACAAAATTGTCAATGGAAGATATAGAGTTCAGAACCACACTTTTAAGGTCTCTCAAGAACTGTTTAGAAGCCGCCGATAAACTTAATGAGATCTACAAGAAAACTAATGAGACCCTCGATGTTATATTGGGGAACCAACTAGAAATTAAGCATACACGGACTGAAATAAGGAATATTATACAGACTCCCGACAGCAGGCCAGAGGAGCGCAAGAATCAAGTCAATGATTTGAAATGCAAGGAAGCAAAAAACACCCAACCGGAAAAGCAAAATGAAAAAAGAATCCAAAAATGCGAGGATAGTGTAAGGAGCCTCTGGGACAGCTTCAAGCGTACCAACATCAGAATTATAGGGGTGCCAGAAGATGAGAGAGAGCAAGATATTGAAAACCTATTTGAAGAAATGATGACAGAAAACTTCCCCCACCTGGTGAAAGAAATGGACTTACAGGTCCAAGAAGCGCGGAGAACCCCAAACAAAAGGAATCCAAAGAGGACCACACCAAGACACATCATAATTAAAATGCCAAGAGCAAAAGATAAAGAGAGAATCTTAAAAACAGCAAGAGAAAGAAACTCAGTTACCTACAAGGGAGTACCCATACGACTGTCAGCTGATTTCTCAACAGAAACTTTGCAGGCCAGAAGGGAGTGGCAAGAAATATTCAAAGTGATGAATACCAAGAACCTACAACCAAGATTACTTTATCCAGCAAAGCTATCATTCAGAATTGAAGGTCAGATAAAGAGCTTCACAGATAAGGAAAAGCTAAAGGAGTTCATCACCACCAAACCAGGATTATATGAAATGCTGAAAGGTATCCTTTAAGAAGAGGAAGAGGAAGAAAAAGGTAAAGATACAAATTATGAACAACAAATATGCATCTATCAACAAGTGAATCTAAGAATCAAGTGAATAAATAATCTGATGAACAGAATGAACTGGTGATTATAATAGAATCAGGGACATAGAAAGGGAATGGACTCACTATTCTTGGGGGGGAAAGGGGTGTGGGGGGTGCGGGAAGAGACTGGACAAAAATCATGCACCTATGGATGAGGACAGTGGGTGGGGAGTGAGGGCGGAGGGTGGGGCAGGAACTGGGAGGAGGGGAGTTATGGGGGGGAAAAAAGAGGAACAAATGTAATAATCTGAACAATAAAGATTTAATTAAAAAAAAAAGAAAAAAAAAAGAAATGAAGATGATGTAGATAGGTCTGAGATGGATTGGAAACACTGTGAAATGGGTTGGGTGGCCTGTTGAGCTGCCACAATGATGGGGAAATAAAGAGTAAATGTCTAGTAGCAAAAGAGATAATCTCACAAACTAACAAAAACTTGTTTTGTCCCAAATGCCAATGGTTTCCTTGATAAGAAATAATAATAAAAGACTGGCATCTTTCAGGGCCAACAAATCCAAAGATTAAAATGACTAAGGTAGTCTCAACAGTACTGAAAGCCTCTAAAGCCTCGAAAGCCCTGGGGACCAATTGAAAGCTTTGCGCTTTCAGGAGTCTCTCTGAGCAACAGGCTCCATCTCCCTCCCCTGAGGCTTCAGTTCAGTTGATTCCTGAAAAAGCAGACAGAACAGAGGGATGGGACATTGAAATGGGAATTCTTGGCAAAGACCTGAAATTAATTCTCCATCAGTTTTTCTAATGCAGAAGCCACCCCAAGTTCTAAATTAGTCCTTAGTCAATATCCTCAGGATTGCTTTGCAAGTTTCCAAACCTTTGGAATCTATACAGAGAAACTCCACAAACCTGTATCATTTGCCCTTGGTTTCCAATTCAACCCTTAATATTGCTTATAAGCGAAATGCAAAGTTAGTGCTAGCCTCATAAACTTAGATACATTGAACACCTACAATGCAAAAAAAAAAAAAAAAATTATGACAAGACATAAGTCACAAATAAAGAACCCCAGTAGGAAAACGTTTGGAAAAATACTACAACCCAGAAGTGCTGAGTGGGTGGAACAATGGCCTTCAATATGCCAAAATGAGAATTCTCAGGCAGAACACTTAGAAGGAAACCACAAGAAAAAGAAGACTGCACTTTTTGTTCAGTGATTTCCTATTAATTGTGATGTAAATTATATGGATGTGATTTTGACAAAGAATAGCACTGTTTCTGAAATAAATAGTGGTTTATGTGCAAAATACAAAATGCATCAGGAAGAAAAAAAATGTTATTTGGCAGCATGAGTGTAATAAAATGTGAGATAACAGCTTACGATTAGGTAACTTTTATATTATCTTTTCCTGTTTGACTCGATTTTTAATCTTAAGCCTTAGGAATAAAACAAATATTTTTGCATCACAAATTAACATAGGTTTATAGGCATTTTCATATGTAATTCTTGACATAAAATATAAAATCATCTAGCTTTGGCTACTAGGTCAAGATTGTTAACTTAATAATATGTTATGCCAGAAGATATATTGGGTAGTTTTGTTGTTACTGTGAACAGCTATCCATACAGGAAATAGCTGATAGTCTACAAACTCTATTAATGTTGGACAGAATTCTTCAGGGAGTAAAATATCATCACTTGCTCAGTCCCTGAGAAGCTATATCTTCTCTTAACCAAGATGATTCCCAGGGGACGTTAATTAAAGTGGGCCAGACCCTCAAAAAATACAAATAAATATTTATCTTTAGAAGAGGGAAAAGTTAAAATAATATATTAAATAAAGGTAATTTCAAATGATAAAGATTGAAGAAGAAAGAAGACAACTTTTATTTGACCTTGAATGTACTTCTTATTCTATAAGAAATTTTAAAAAGCTAGAGGGTAGTTGTTTCTTGTCATTATACTGTTGCTGATTCTGTGGTTAGTTATTAATTTTATTTTTTATGATTCACAATCTGCTCTTTGAAATATGCCATATGCTCAAAGCAATTCAAGGATGACAACTGTCAGAATTACTCCAATAAAAATTGCCTAAATGAGGAAGATTTACTACAGTCTGATATTTCCGTGGAAAGTCCCTCTACCTCCCCAACAGCTTTTCAGACACCGTGAATCTTGCAACCATTTCTTCAGTCAAAATCACAGGGTTGTTTTGTAAGAACGACTAAGACCATTTAAGTGAAATTGGTAAAACACACTAGGCTAAGGGTGAATTAGCAGACATGGAAAACAATATAGATAGTTATTAGATGGATTGCTGCAATCAATATGTGAGTTCCAAGCCAGTTTTCTTAAATCACACGCAAATGTATTGACTTAATATGACAACGTCTGCTCTATGTATCACTAACAAACATTAAATTGGACATGCCCTGCACCCTGAAAGCAGCAAGCCAAACTAAAGGCACATTTTTTCCCCCTGGGAAGATCTGAGGGGTGGATAGAATCTACCTGAGTGCTCCAATCAAAACACATTTTGTTAAATGTGAGCAGTCCATTTACCCTTCATTTTGTTTCAGTCTATTTATTAATGCAGTTTCATTTATTGTTATTCATCCTGAAGATAAATCTTTGTCCTTCTATAGAATTACACCAAATAGAATGTGATAAAGGGAACTTTCCTGCAATTATGATGTCGGTGCAGCCTGTCAGCACACAAGGGATGGAAATGAGTTTGGGGACAGGGAAGAGAATTCTAATAGACACCATGATACATACAATGAACGCAAAGATATCCTGAGAGAGAGAGACTTGTCAGGCTAATCAGATCTTCCCCAGTAAGGTAAAAGCAAGAAGAGAGCGCTAACCTTGTAAAGGTGCTGCTGCTGCTCCTCTGACATCATCAGGTCGTGGCTGTCCATCACGAGGGACTCCATGTCAATCAGCCAATCCCAGAGCTCCTGATATTCTGAATCAAAGTCCAGAAGCCTGAAGATAAGACACAACATGTATTATGCATAAATACAGAGTAGTTGTTAAAATCTTGTATTAGAATAATATATTCTTGAAAATCCATGATGTTCCTGGGTGATACCTATAAAAAGAGCAGGAAAGAATTCTCTCTGTGGTTACACAGTGGGTAAAAGAGGAACTCAAGCTTGTGACATAGCCACTTCTTAGATTTTGAAACATGTAATTTCGATGTTCATACCTGAGACATATTATCATGGCGATTTCCATTTGCTCACCCTTCCTGAAGATTTACAGCACTTGAACGAAATGACTACTACCTTGAAAAAGAGCACCATCATATTTAACAGGCTCAGGAATGTTGGGTCAGTGCCATTTGAAGGTTACATGGTCCAGAATTTTGGTTAAGAGCAGTACGCTCAAAATTCAAACCCCTTTCTCATCTACTAGATTTTCCATGGATACTACATCCCAATAGATTTATGATTAAGAACACTAATTTAATGAATTTCTCTATAATAATCATAATTCACTATCATATCCAAAATATAATGTTTACTGGGAAGTGGCTCAATCATTTATCTGTCCCTCTGCTGTCTATCTGCCCATCTCTGCAAACATATATCCTACATTTAGTGTCATGGATGAGTAGCCAGCATTTCAGCTTAACACTCAGAGTTAGGCTTGAGTGACTCTGGTAAGCCAGTGAGAACCAGGGGCAGATCCAGTATTAGACAGGTGTTCCCCACAGACATGTAGGAAACAAAGGTAAGGACAGGAAGTCAAAACAATGAATCTTGAATAGGCAGCAATCATTAAAATTCAAAGGAGGATCACTATGGTTTTCAACAAAATAAATCATTAGAATAAGGAGCTTAAAAGGATTAATGTGATTCTCTATTGAAAGCTCGGTGAATAAGTAAAGCCCAGATTCTTCTAAAACACTGTGATCAGAAAATGAAAGTGCAGATGAAAAACTATCACTTTGTCTTTTCCCAAAAAAATCATCCCCCTGAAAGAAATCCTAGAATCTTGTCAAACTGTAACTGAACAAAACCTTATCTGGGTTTCTGGTCAAGATGGTGGCGTAGGTAAATGTGGTACTCACGTCCTCCCATAGCCACATCAAAATTACAACTAAACTACAGGACAACCATCATTCAGAACTGCCTGAAATCCTCCTGAACAGAAGTCCTATAACTAAGTATATAAAGAAGAAGTCACATTGAAACTGGGATGAGGGGCAGAGGCGTGGAATAGACTGGTCCCACACCCACATGCGGTGGATAAAAATTGGGAAGGATATCTCAGCTGCAGAGGTCCCTGCTGAGGAGCCAGGAGTGTCAGCCTCAGATCAGGCCCTCCAGCTCAAGGTTCTAGTGCCAGGAAGAGAGGTCCTCATAACTTCTGGCTGTAAAAACCAGTGGCGATTATGGCTGGGTGAAACAGAGGCTGCTGGAATCCCAGGAGTTCATCTTTAAGGGCCTGTGCACAGACGTACTCAAACTCATTTTTCTGAGATTCAGCTCTGGGGCAGCAGCTCAAAAAGCATCAGAGACATATGGGGAAGGATTGAATTGTTAGGCACCAGGGCAAGAGATGAAGGGGCAGCTTTCTTCCAGACAGAAGTGCTGACAGAGGCCATGGTTCCTCTTCAGAGCTCTTCCTCCACAGAGCCAGCAGGCGGTGCCATATCTGAGTCCCCATCCACCTGGCTCACACTGTTTTGCCCTACCCTGGTGATTCCTTGAGACTCGAACCCACCAACTTGTGGGCCCACCTAAACCGTTTCCAGCGGCTTTTCCATATTAATGGCCTGTCATGGTTCATGCCTCAGACTTTCCTAAAATCTCTCAAACAAGCAGCATCTGGCCTCTATGTGCCCCATACCTCTCTCTAAGAGGCCCCCAGCCAGGAACTAGTGGCAGCTGGCCTTGCTTCACAGCTTGGCCTCTTCTGGGCATCTCCAAGCCCAGCACAAGTAGCAACCATTTGCAGATCATTTTGTAGCCCATGCCTAGTGGCCTAGGGTAGAACACAGGCAGCTGTTGACCTTTGCCTGTAACTCCCCTAGGCCCCAGAGCTAGCGCACCCACTGAACAGCTTCAGACCATGTTGAAGCACCATGCAACCACTTCCACAAATGACACACTCAAGGGCACCAGAGCCCCACTGAAGTAAATCCTGCTCCATGGGGTCAGCCTCTGCACAGCTGATCTTTCATGGAGGTGCAGCCAGCCCTTGCTGCCATTTGGCCTGGGGATAAAGCCCTTCCATTGACATGCCAACAGCAATAGAGGCTCAACAACAAAAGGAAGGTATATAGAGCCCCCAAGAGGCTGTGCTTTGATTGTCCAGCTTGGGCGGGGGAGGGGGAGATGGGGGCTGTGCCATTGGGCCCTACAGGACACCTAATACATAAGGCCATTCTACCAAGCCTGGGAGACATAGCAGATCCACCTAATATATAGGAACAAACCCAGGCAGGCCACCAAAATAAGAAGACAAGAAAACATGTCCCAAATGAAAGAAGAGAACAAAACTCTAGAAAAAGAACTAAACAAAATAGAGACAAGCTATCTACTAAATACAGAGTTTAAAACACTGGTTGTAAGGATGCTCAGTGAACTTAGGGGAAGGGTAATGAACTTAGTGAGAACTTGAACAAAGAAATAGGAAACATAAAAATGGACTGAGGAAACATAAAAAAGAATCAGTCAGATAAGAATAATGTATTACAGGAAATCAACAGTAGAGTACATAAAGCAGTGGATCAAATCAGGGATTTGGATGATAAGGAAGCAGAAAACACCTGATCAGAATAGCAAATAGAAAAAAGAATTTTTAAAAAATGAGGAAAAATAAAAAACCTCTAGGACAACTTCAAGTGTACCAACATTCTCATCATGGGGATGTCTGGAGGAGAAGAGAGAGAAAAAGGAATTTAAAACTTATTTGAATAAATAATGACAGAAAACTTTCTTAACCTCTGAAAGAAGTAGACATACAAGTCCAGGAAGCACAGAGACTCCAAACAAGAGGAACCCAAAGAGGCCCACGCCCAAGACACATCATAATCAAAATGCCAAAGGTTAAAAACCAAGAGAATCTTAAAAGCAGCAAGAAAAAAGCAGTTCGTTACCTATAAGGGAACTTCCATAAGACCGCCAACTGATTTCTCAACAGAAATTTTGCAGGCCAGAGGGATTTGGCAAGAAATATTCAAAGTGATGAAAAACAAGAACCCTACAACCAAGATTACTTTACCCAGAAAACCTATTATTTAGAATTAAAGGACATATAAAGAGCTCCCCAGACCAAAAAAAAAGTGCTAAAGGTTTTCATCATCACTGAACTGGGTATTACATGAAATGTTAAAATGTCTTCTTTTTGAGGAAGAAAACAGATAAAAAATATGAATGATAAAAGGCAATAAATATATATCTATGAACAACTGAATCTAAAAAACAAAATAAATGAACAAAACAGAAATAGACTCATAGATACAGAAAAAATTTGATGGTTGCCAGATGGGAGGAAGCATTTGGGGACTAAGTGAAAAAGGTGAAGGGATTAAGAACAAATTGGCAGTTACAGAATAATCATGGGGATGTAAAATACAGCATAGGAAATATAATCAATAATATTATAATACTACTAGAAGCCCGGTGCACAAAAATTTGTGCACTCAGGGGGGAGGGAGGGTCCCTCGGCCCAGCCTGTGCCCTCTCGCAGTCTGGGACCCCTCGGGAGATAATGACCTGCTGGCTTAGGCCTGCTCCCGGGTGGCAGAGGGCAGTCCCAATCCCTAGGTGCAGCCCCCGGTTGGGCTCAGAGCAGGGCTGATTGGGGAGTTGGGGCGCCGCCCCCTGTCATGCACAGAGCAGGGCAGATCGGGAGGTTGCAATGCCACCCTCAGTCACGCTCAGGGTAGGGCCGATTGGGGGATTGGGGCACCGCGCCCTGTCACACTCAAGGCAGGGTCGATGGGGAGGTTGCGGCGCCACTCCCTGTCACGCACAGAGCAGGGCAAATCAGGGGGTTGGGGCTCCATACCCTGTCACGCACAGAGCAGGGCCCATCAGGGGGTTGGGGAGCCCGCCCCCCGTCACGCACAGAGCAGGGCTAATCAGGGGGTTGAGGCGCTCCCCCTGTCACTCACAGAGTAGGGCCCCCCATACAGGAGTTGGGGCACCGCCCCCTGTCACACACAGAGCAGGGCAGATCAGGGGGTTGGGGCACTGCACCCTGTCACACTCAGGGTAGGGCCGATGGGGAGTTTATGGCTCTACCCCGTCACACACAGAGCAGGGCCCGTGGGGGGGGGGGGGTTGGGGCTCTGCACCCTGTCACACACAGAGCAGGGCTGATCAGGGGGTTGGGGCGCTGCAGCCTGTCACACACAGAGCCGCAGGGCGATCAGGGGGTTGGGGAGCTCCCCCAATCAGTCACAGAGCAGGGCTGATCAGGGGGTTGGGGCGCCTTCCCCTATCACGAACAGAGCAGGGCAGATAGGGAGGTTGTGGCCCCGCCCCCTGTCACACACAGAGCCGCAGGGCGATCAGGGGGTTTGGACGCTGCCCCCTGTCACACTGATCCTGGTGCCGGGAGGCCTTCCAGCTCCGCTGATCCCGGTGCTGGGAGGCATATTACCCTTTTACTATATAGGATAGAGGCCTGGTGCACAGGTGGGGGCCGGCTGGTTTGCCCTGAAGGGTGTCCTGGATCAGGGTGGGGGTCCCCACTGGGGTGCCTGGCCAGCCTGGATGAGGGGATGATGGCTGTTTGCAGCTGGTCACACACCCTTCAGTGTGGGGGTCCCCACTGAGGTGCCTGGCCAGTCTGGGTGAGGAGCTGAGGGCTGTTTTCAGGCTGGCGGGTGACTGAAGCTCCCAACCGCTCCTTTTTTTCTTTCTTTTCTTTTTTATTCTGGGCCAGCTTTAGCCCTGAGGCTTGGCTCCAGCTCTTAGGCCTCCGTTGAAAGCAGGTATCTGGTTTGTTTGGGTTCTATAATCGAA